AGTCTTAATATATGTTCGAACACAAAGAAACAAGTTGTAAACTTGGGAATTAGATGAGATAGGAAAATTCCATAGAAAATTTGTGTTATTGTCAAGAAAAAGAACATAATATTTGTGACCAAGAGGGCTAAGAACGGGAGAAGTCCATAAATCACTGTGAAAAATATCAAAGGGCATAGTAGTATGAGACATAGAATCATAAAATGTCAATTTCATTAATTTTCTCAAAGGACAAGAATGACAAACATGTTTTGAACCTTATTACAATTTATTAGATTACTACTACACAAGGAACTAAGAATCACATTGCCCTGATGACCAAAAGGGGAATGCCACACACTAGAAGACACAATTGCAAAAGCTAACGGATTTGAAGTGGAAATGAGGTGACAATTGGTGAAGAAGGGATAGAGATCGCTACTGCTATTACATCTCATTATTTTGCTCCCCGTCTGCAAATCCTTCAAAGAAAACCCAAACGGATCAAACTCAATTGACACATTATTATCGTTAGTGAACTTTCTAACATAAATGAGATTTTTTACAAGTTTGGGCACGTGTAGGAAATTTTTGAGGTGAAGTGTGTTTTGGTGTAAAGAGTCGTGACCATAACCATGAATTGGAACTTTGCTACCATCACCAACAAAAATAAAATTGTTATTATGTTTGCTCAAAGGAATATATGATGATAAAGTACCTTATGAGTTTGACATATGTGATGTTGCTCTTGTATCCATGTTATAGTTCGGGTCGGAAAGAGACATAATATGCATAGCTTGCTCTATGTTGGTTGGAGTGTAACCTGAAGAAGAAGGTGGATCCGACATAAAATAAGCCTGCTGCGGATGCGGCCCAAGAACATCTTGAGAAGCAGGCTGCTGATTCGACCTTAAAGACCTAGAAAGTGGGCCCGGGCCCTGACTTGGATACAGACATGGTGGGGTTTCCAAGGAGGCTGATTCCAGTAGCCTTAATATTGTGGTTAAGGTGGGAACATCCAACCTTGTCCCTGCTGCTGCTGCAACGCACTACCTTGGTGCTGCAGCTATTGCGGCTGGTCGTTCTGGCCACCGTTCTCGGGGGCAGACTTGCCCTCTCCACCACTCTCTTTGCCCTTATTACTCTTGCGACCACCATTGCGATTGTTAACACTTTGAAAATTTCCAAAATTTGTGCTTGTTCTACGCTTAGTCTTTGAAGCATGGATGGTGATTGAGAAACATGAGCCTCCTCATGAGATTCAACAGCAACATCAACAGCGTTGCCTTGTTCCTCAAGTTCAAGCATCGATTTCAAAGTTTCTAAAGAGGGAAGAGGATTGAGATGTCGTACAGAAGTTTAAAAAGGCTTGTATTCCTTCAAAACCCTTTCAAGAGTTGAAGCGCCATTCTATTGTCCGAGACCTTGTCTTCAACATTCCTTAAACTGTCAGCTAGGGTTTTGAGGCGACTACAATAGGGTTTCACACCATCGGATTGGTCGAGCTTGGTGTTGGTGAAATGCGCATCAAGATGTAATGCTTGGGTCGACTTGTTATTGAGAAAAAAAATTTCAAACATTTCCACGCATCAATAGCCTTGTCATCGGGATTGATAATTGAATTAACAAGGTAAGTGGAAATAGTATTGTAAATCCATTGACGAACAATGTTATCATGTTGTTGCCAGTGAGCTGTATCAGAAATTTCAAGATTCTTTTCCTTCTCATTAACAACAGGTGGAATAATATGATCTAGGACCAAATTCGTGCGGCAATGAATTTTGAAAAAGGTAGACCAAATGTTCTATTGAGTGCCATCATAATCAAGAACGATAGGAATGCAGGTCTTGATGTTTATGACAAGGGTAGCAGGATGAATTTTCTGAGTGTCGTCCATGGAGGGAAAACGAACAAGAAGAAGAGAAGAGATGAAGAAGAAGAAGAAGAGAGAAGATGAGCGGAAAAGAACTAGGGTTTCGGATCGAAAAACCTAAGCTCGTGATACCATGAGAGAATATTTGTCGTGCCCTTCTCATTGATTAAACATCAATATATATACAAGCATATTCCAGGGTTAATGACTAAGGATACATAAGTAATTTAAAAACTAATGTACACAAGATTATTGACATAATCTAACAGTAGCCCTTGACGCTTCTAAAAACACTTAAATCGGTTCTTCCACTCCGAGTGAATTTTAACACAATTGACATCTTTGATTCGATGTTTCACAATTAATAAGCTTGGATTGCTTCAGTTTGGGGACGAAATAGACAAAACACTCTCCGTTTCGAACACATCCTCAACACATTTCAAAGAAGAGTCGTCGAATGGAATAAAAAGGAGATGCAAAAGATCGAAAGATGAATTAAATAGAGCACAAACAAGTGGGTTCATAAGTAGATGCAATAGTTTAAATATAAGAAACACTAATTTTCTTTGAAATGATAGAGATAATGCGGAGAAAGACAACGTGTTACAACCTCCATTATTGAAGAAGAAAACCAAGCTTAATAATTAAAGAGAAATGAATTCAAAATGAGAGAGATTGGGGATCTTTTAATTTTTTGTTGAATTAAGCAAAGGTTTTAACGATAAATGAAGAATTAGTGAGACTTCTCTATGTTTATTTTCTGTTTCTAGATGTAAAAACAAGAAAAGAGAGGTAAAGTGAGCTCTAACACGAAGAAAGAGTCGGCATTCCCGTCAGCCCGTCACTAGCGGTGAATTCGTCTAGCCAAGTATTAAGTGAGGCAAGCTTTACCCAATACTTTTTTTATCTATTTATTTTTTCTAATATTTGTCCTAAGAGTAATTTAAATATTATCACCCTTTATCTTTTATAATGTGAACCTATAATATTTATTTACCTCCAATACCAAAAGTTACAATCTATTAGGATAGTTATGGGAGAATATATTTGATTTATATGATATATATGATATCTATCAATATTAGGCATATTTCCTATCCTACTAGCTGTAGGGTTAGGGATCTTATTTGTATAAATATCGCTATGCATAATGAATAGAAATCATATACTTCTACTGTCTATCTTTACATGGTATCAGAGCGGTTTTTTTTAACCTAAGCAATGGCTGGCGACAACACCGCCACCACCACCACCAGCAAAAATTGAACCATACTCCCCCTTCTATCTAGGTGCGCTGGACAAACCCGGTGAGTTTATCACCCCTATGCGTCTCAAGCTTGAGAATTTTGATGATTGGGTTCACGCGATTTATGTGGCTCTTTCGTCTCGTAAAGAGTTCGGCTTTGTTGATGGTACAGTCAATGATGTGGTACCCCCTGCTACTAAAGACGATTGGGTCACGATACATTGTATGCTTATTTCGTGGCTCATGAATACGATTGATCCGGAAGTGAAATCCTTGCTTTCGAATTATGCCAATGCCAAGCGCTTATGGGATGATTTAAATGAGAGGTTTTGTGTGGTGAATGGGCCACGTATTCAACAATTGAACGCTAAAATTAATAGGTGTGAGAAAACAATAAGCATGTCTGTTTCCATATACTTTGGTAAATTGAAAGTTTTGTGGGATGATCTTGCAAATATGAGCCCCTCATTAGTTGTAAATGTGGCAAGTGTACTTGCGGTGTTGGTCGCCAACATGAGATGCGACGCAAAAAATGATCGTTTGAAGCAATGTTTGTAAGGGCTTTTTAAGAATATTATGGTTCTTTACGCTACAATATTCTCTCGCAGGATCCTATGCCTTCTTTAAAAAAAGCATATCAACAAGTTTCGCAGGATGAAAGAGTTTGGGGGATCTCTCATATGCGAGATGAGAAGCCGGAGGTTGCGGGCTTTGCTATCTGTATGGAGCCAAAGCCAAAGCCGCATCTTAGTTGCGTGGAGAAGGCAGCACTGACCTGCACCTATTGTCATAATATATGGCATTATACTTGTAGACACTTGATTGTGTCTCTCCAAAAACAAAACCCAGTGATGAGCACCTTTCACGTCTTTGATTGTCGAGTTAGGTGAAGAGTAGAAGAATCTCATGAATTTCCTTTATCCTTGACCATTTCTGACCTTTCCTTAAATGTTTTAATTCAAAATCATTCATTTCGTGCCTTTAAACTCAAAATCATTCATTTCGTGTGTTTGAAAATCATTCATTTCGTATCCTCTTTATAAGAACGTGCAAATCAGTTTATTTTGGTCCATAATCTGGGTCCAATAATTGTTAAGTTTTATGGCGTTTGAAAATATCTTTCCAACGATATATCATAATCCCAAATCCGAGTTATAACGAAAAAGTTATGGCCAAAATACTAAATTGGCTTAAACCGAGCCTTACCTACACCCAATGATCATGTGCAGGGTCTATTAACCTTAAACATCATTCCTTAAATCCCTTAGGACTTTTTTATTTGCTTCTAGAATCCTCTAGAATGTTCTAATTTATCCTATTTTTGAAAAGATAAAGATTTAAGAATTTTACTTCGGATAAAACACTTGTTCTTTCAATGATTTTAATTCTGATAAAATTAGGATACGTGCGGATATTTGACTAAACCAAGTCGATTGGGAGTCGAATTCTGTACAGATCTTATCTTCCAAAAAGTATTGCTGCGCGATAGAAATATTGCACGACGATAGACATACCGCATCGCGATATTCATATCGTGCAACGGTATTCATATCGCGTCGCGATGGGATCTGTTTTACTCTCACTACTACATTTTTGATCTATTGCAACCCCCAAATCCGTTGCATTAGGCGTCAAAATCCGTGGCATTAGGCCTAATGCAACGGCCATGTACCGTGGCATCTGCTGGCGTTGCAGTAGGTCTAATGCAACGGCATATGACACCTAATGCCACGGCTCCATTGATCCGTGGCAATAGACCATTACCTATTGCAACGGCATAACTTATCCGTGGCAATAGATTACTGACTAATAATTATGATAAAATTGAACCTATTGCAACGGATGAAGCTAATTAATACAATGATAGGAGTACGTAACTAATACAACAGATTGATCATTGGGTTTTTTTTTTTTTTTTTTGTTGGGATGGAATGGTAATATAATATTAATTAGTCAGTACAAATCTAAATATACTAACATAAACAAATTAAAGTATCATTTATATATAATAATTATAATGCAAAATACGTACATTACAAAATATTACTTGCCTATTTTTGGAATGACATACCCTACTAATAATAAATAAAAGTTACATAATTAATTTGATCGTCCAAAATACAAATTGTCAACATATATATAAGCCGAAATATCCAAATCTTCACAAAGCCAGAACTTGAATGAGAGTCGCCAACATATATGCACCATTTGTTAGATGGCTAGTCACTATACTTCCGCTCCATTTGACTCCCCATGCACCTACACTACGTAAAATTGAAAAAAATAAAAGAAATATAATTAAACTAAAAGAAATATAATTACAGTATATCACAGTACCTCAACCCTTTGGTTTGCAGATTTTAACACAATCAAGGAGGACAGTTAAAAACCAAGCTATACAAGTTATGTAAGGCACACATAATCAATATAACAATAACGATAAAAGAGATGCATAATCACCAGCCGGTGGGAGGAAGCAATAAGCAAAGAGTTACTGAGCTTGCATGTTGTGAGAAAATTGCAAAATTTATTCCATTCTCCACTTCTGAAGCTCCCAAAGGAAATGCTTAGCCTGGCAGGATTTTGAACGATTTGCTTGTATCCATCATGGTCAAAGCTTCTTCCTTTTATAAAAAAATAATAGGCATGACAACACATTAAGACATCAGTATAGATGAGCTACTTTAGATGAATTTCATGAATAAAGCAACAAAAAGATTTCTTCGACATAGAAAAAAACGAAGAACTCATTGAAAGACAGAGAATTCCATGATATAGAGTGCTGATATTCTTATCAATCCATGAATACATGTGTGACGTGTTTACTATGACATGAGCCTTACTCACAAAGTCACAATAAAAGAAAGACTGTAACACAAATAACACTTAGGGTTTGCTCAATTCACTAGGAAAAGGGTTCTGGTCTAATTTATTTAGTTCTGGACTCTAAATCTTTCTTCTGATTTGGTTGACCTAAACTCTATATGATATAACTTTGACTCTTTACATTAGTTTATAGTTAGAAAGAACATTATCATGTGGGTTCTTGGCCTTCTTGCTAGATTCATCTTAATGTAAATATTCCATCTAATTTTCATAATATTTACTACTCCCTCTGTCTCCAAATAAAAGTCTCATATGCCTTTTGCACAAGTTTTTACAAGGTGGATAGAAAAAATAAGATAATGTGGTTTGGTTGATTACAAGAGAATATAAAAAACAAGATAGTAATTGAATATAATAATAATATAGTGGGCCAAGTGGGGTTCGGATGATTACAAGTGAATAAAGTAATAGATAAAAGTGTAATCAGAGTATCAGACTTTCATTTAAGGACAAGTTTTGTGCAAAAAAATGATACTTTTATTTGGGGACAACGAATGTAATAGAAAATTAAAGATACTTGGTAATATAAAAAAACACAGAAACTAAAGATCAAGCATTGTCTGATTTGATGTGATTCAACAAAAATAAGTAACAAGCCTCTCAAACACTTACTCCGCATGAACTCTATAGCAATTATTTAGTTAAAAGGACCAAGCATGAACTGTTAATACTTTATAAAGCTCAGCTATGTCATAAAGCCAGATGCCCCTCACTAGCAATATTAATAAACTCATAGATGATCTGGGATTTAGCAAGCAATAAAGAACTATGAAATTAAAATAATATTTTGAGTTTTCAATTGCATTATTTGGAGAAGAAAAAGCCTTCTTCGTGGATCTACAAGTCTACATGAACAGGACATAATCTTTTTGTGACAAACAAATGATGAGTGTGGGGGAAATAAAAAGGGTAGCGATGGGCTCTGGAATATTAAACACTCTTAACAAATCATAAAAGTTATAGATATAAGATACCTCTATGGAAAACAGGTCAAGTTCTTGGCTAAGACGTCAGTGATCCCGCCGTAGAGCTTCTGCTTTGAAATGAAGGTAAGCTTTCAGATGTTCTTCATTTTCCCATGCTGTGCCATAAATCCTTTGTTGCACTGGCCTGTTTACATCTCCTCTCCAGTAAGCACCAGCAACAGATTCAAGTTCAATGGCTCTCCTATTAATACTTCTAGTAGTATCAACTCAAAATCGAAATCATTGTATTAATTATTTAGCAAGGCATCTCAAATACTTAAATTACACAACTTAAAATCGGAAAACGATAGAATATTTTGAAAAATCATGATTGCTCAATTTTGACTTATGCAATTTCATCATCAGCTTTAATTTGCACTATAACAAGTATAACTAATTTTGGCTAGCCCAAATGAAATCCCAATGAACAACTCTTGTTGATAACTTTATAAGGGCTATAGGTCTCAACAGATGTAAATCATGCAGAAGCAGTGGCATTAGAAATTTATTAAAAAGAATAGCATTTACTCCTTTTAATTATTGTAGATATTGTCTTGTTTATCCCCCCACCACTCCCAATATTCAAATCATCAGACCAATATTAAATTACAAGAAAAACATTAAAATCATAAAAATGAAGAGAAAAAAACATACCAGATCCATGACAAACTCCATAAGATTCAAAAGCAGGAGTAGCATCATAAATTGAATCCTTATACTCGGTTCCCTAACAAAAATAAACTTAAACTTTTATTCAACTAGGACATCTTCTTCATTGCTAATGCATAAATCCAAAACCATCACCAACATACCTAACCTTTTCTCTCATAACTCTGCACATACTCTTTCCACCCATCCTTGAACTCATACCCGTCGAGCAACTTGTATAGCAACTAGCAAGCATGGCCTCTAAGACATCAACAATGTATATGTCTACACCAATTAGCTAAGAATGTCCCTTAACTCATATTTCCTGTTTGTTATTAATATCAAGAACCTATATTAAACTACCATAGTGCAGGTTAATGTATCCGAAAACATTCATTCATGAAAAGTAAAAACTTTTATCAGCAACATGTCGGCAAACTTTAAATGATGCCTAATTTAAAATAGAAAGCTGGATATAGCCTAGAGTAGACAGCTGTGAAGGGCCAACTTCAAGAAGATGAACACTTAACACTCAGATCCACAAATAATTCCTACTTCCTATTATCCTACTAAACCAAACCATTGGATCAGAGTTGACAATAATTTTTTGGGTGTGCTGCAGATTAATCAATAATAACATAATAACTTTACAATCTTAACTCCTAGGACCTAATCTATGGTTACACAAATAGACATAATAAGGAATAATTTGAAATTGTGGAGATCTATCTAGTCTGCTTAAATATTGCTAAATTAGAAACCAATCTCAATGACAATTAGTTATCAACAATACACCAGGATTAAGTCAGCTAACAATTTAAATATATATAAACATGTAGCAGACATGAAAAGCAATTACAGTAATCATTCTCAAGCAACATACATTATTCAAGATAAACATAAAAGGCTACACACAAAAAATTCAATGTGGCTACATATACCTCTTCAGAGGAACAAGACTTTCCACTATCATTTGCGCCTCACTGACTCAATCTAAACTAGCTAAACCTTAGGCTTCAACTTCAAACTACTTCCCCCTTTTGGCATCATTAAAAAGTATCCACAAGTAAAAGCAATGTGCACAAGTTAATGTGCTTATCCATACAATGGCATCAACCACCATTCAAGCATTATGCTGCAAAAAGAGATTAGTCAAACAGTTCATACCATAGCAGAGTTAGTAGTCCATACAAGCCAACAAAGTTCAACCAAAGAAGCCCAAATCCATCCAAAAAGAAAGTTCATGGAATGGAGAGAAGTAGACAGACCAACACAATAAGTTATTTTAGAATAAACATGAGGGTGAGGAAACAAGAACAGAAACAACATCACTCCTCATCATCATTCTCGTTCCCTTCCTCCTCCTCGAACTTTGCAACATCTTCTGTATTATCATCTGATTCCTCTTCATCCTTGTCACCATGCTCTGCTTAAACCAAAATCATTATATTACTAAGCATATTCTTGTGATTCCCCAATCTGTTTCAAAACCACTTCCTGACCTGCTGGTTCCTCTATTTTTTTTTTTTTTTTTTTTTTTTTTTTTTTATAAATCATGAGAGATCCGCACTTATTCATAAAGTTCTCCTTGTTGCATAACGAGTACAAGACTAGCATCACATCAATCAAGCAAAGACCTCCACCCTTTTGTGGTGTGAAAGGTTCTTGCTGGTACCCTTTTTCTCTTGGTTTCCGGAAGAGAATTAATGAACTGTTCCTCCTACACCTTCTCAGTGAACTTCTTTAATGAAGATTGAGTTACTCTACTTAGTACCATGGTCTTAACAATGAGTGTCTCCTCATTGTAACCAACAATCTCTAATTCATCCTCTTCACTCTGACTTTTCCGAATTTCCTCCAACTTCGGACTTAAGGACATTTGAGCTTCCTTCTGATGTTCCCCCTGAGACTGAGCTGGTTCCTTGAGTGAACAGTAACCGAATGAACAATGATGAATTTAAAGCATACGAGAGAGAGAAAGAGAATTTCGAGTGATGATGATTGATGATCTGCACAAAGGGTTAGTGTATATTTTTAACAATGAAGCACAAAGAGAGAAGAAGGAAAGAAAAGAGTTAGTTGAGCCAATAAAAAGCAACTGTAAAGGATATTTTTTTTTTAAATTGAAATCAAAAATTTGGTAATTATCTTTTACCATAATTATCTCAACCAACTATAAATAAGGCATATGATATGTTTGCCTTTTATATGGGATTAAATAACTGAAATAAGATAAATTCCTTCCAAAAGGAAATATCTTATAGTAATCTTCCGAAAATAAAAGATATTATCGGATGACATATCAGAGCTGGTCTGATGTTTCCCTTTGCTGGTACCTGTATAGAACCATGTCACGTTGTTTCTGGCAATTCAGCCTGATTTCACCTGTTTCTTACAACAATGATTCTCAATCCTTTTGAGATTTTGAACCATCTACACAACACTTGAAAGATATCAACATAAGTATGTACACACACTATACAAGAGAATACCATTCTAACCAATCATTGAAGGAAGTAATTGAAGCCAATACCTAAAATCTAACTAGACCTAAAAGGACTCTTAACCTACAAAAAGACTCTCTACACAAAGGCTTTGTGAAGATATCAGCAATTTGATCTTCACTTTTACAAAACAACATCTCCACCAATCCTTTTTCCACATTGTCTCTTAAAAAATGGTGTCTTATTTCAATGTGTTTTGTCTTGGAGTGTTGCACAGGATTCTTTGAAATATTGATTGCACTAGTATTATCACAAAAAATAGGAACACTTTTATAAATAACACCAAAATCTTTCAGCTGGTTCCTTATCCACAGTAGCTGGGAACAGCATGAAGCTGCAGCTATATATTCAGACTCTGCTGTGGATAGGGCCACTGAATTTTGCTTTTTAGAACCCCATGAAATTAGACAAGAGCCAAGAAAGTGTGCCATACCTGATGTGCTCTTTCTATCAACTAAGAAACCAGCATAATCTGCATCTGTGTATCCAATAAGATCAATGGTACTGCCTTTGGGGTACCACAATCCCAGATTTGCTGTTCCTACAAGATACCTAAGTATCCTTCTAACAGCCTTCAAGTGAGATTCCTTTGGATTGCTTTGAAACCTAGCACACAAACCAACAGAAAACACAATGTCAGGTCTACTAGCTGTTAGGTAAAGTAGAGAACCTATCATTCCTCTATAAAGAGAAGCTTCAACATCTTTTCCCTTAAGATCAGCATCTAATTTTGTAGATGGGGGAACAGATGTATCATAAGCTTTGCTGTTCTCCATGCCGAATTTTTTCAGCAACTCTTTTAAGTACTTTTGTTGATGGATCATTATTCCATCATCCATTTGCTTAATCTGCAGCCCTAGGAAGAATCCTAGTTCTCCCATCATGCTCATTTCAAATTCACTCTGCATAAGATTAGCAAATTCATCACATAAAACCTGATTAGTAGCACCAAATAAAATATCATCAACATAAATTTGTACTACAATCAAGTGTTTCCCCCTGGTTCTTATGAACAAGGTCTTGTCTACTGTTCCCCTCTTGTAATCATTTTCCATCAAGAAATTGGACAATCTTTCATACCAAGCCCTCGGAGCTTGTTTCAACCCATATAATGCTTTGTCCAACTTGTACACATGTTGGGGGAACAGTGCATCTTCAAAACCAGGTGGCTGCTCCACATATACTTCTTCCTTTAAATATCCATTGAGGAAGGCAGTCTTTACATCCATCTGAAACAGCTTAAAATTCATGTGAGCAGCATAAGCAATTAAAATCCTAATAGCCTCTAGCCTAGCTACTGGTGCAAACGTCTCATCATAGTCAATTCCTTCTTGTTGATTGTACCCTTGCACCACTAGCCTTGCTTTGTTTCTGACTATAGTACCAAGGTCATCTAACTTGTTTCTAAAGACCCATCTAGTGCCAATGACTGATCTTTCCTTGGGACGGGGAACCAAGTGCCAAACCTGGTTCCTCTGAAACTGATTTAACTCATCTTGCATAGCTAGTACCCAATCAGGATCAGTCAATGCCATTTTATAGTCAGTAGGCTCTACATTAGACAGAAAAGAATAGAAAGCACAAAAGTTTTGAAAAACATTTGTTCTCGTTTGAATCCCCTTATTTATATCACTAATTATTTGATCAGTGGGATGAGAAGATTGATATCTATAACTTTTAAAATTAAGACTGTTTTGTGCTTTCTCATTAAGTTGGGAACCAGCATGTTCATGGATCTCTCCTTCTTCTGAGGAGCCAGGAGGATTCACATTCATGCTGTTTCCTCTATCATTACTTACCTCAGGTTCAGGGGTGGTACCTTCTTCTGTTCCCCCTGAACTCATTACCTGTCTATTATTTGAGGAACCATCAGGACTTGGTTCCCCTTCAGAGTCCTCATTATCTTCATTTTCTTCTCTAGGCACTTCATCATTATCATCTGGTGGAGTATTTGGTAGGCCTAGATCTGCTTGCACTTCATCCGTGGGACCAGTATACTGGTTCCCCGTGAAATCCATCAATCCAGTCACTTCATCAGGTTGTACCTGCGCAATCTCAGAAGACATGTTAAATTCATCAAAAATGACATGGACACTCTCCTCAACACAAAGAGTCCTTTTATTGAAGACTCTATATGCTTTGCTGTGAGAAGAGTATCCAAGAAAGATTCCCTCATCACTTCTAGGATCAAACTTATCAAGTTGATTCTTCCCATTATTATGCACATAACATTTACATCCAAAGACACGAAAGTATGTGATGTTGGGCTTTCGACCTTTAAGAAGTTCATAGGGAGTCTTATTTAACTTTGGTCTAATGAGACCTCTATTCAATATATAGCAAGCAGTGTCAACAGCTTCTCCCCAAAAACTCTTTGGGAGACCACTCTCAATGAGCATCGTCCTCGCCATCTCCTCAAGAGTTCTATTCTTCCTTTCTACAACACCATTTTGTTGAGGTGTTCTAGGGGCTGAGAAGTTGTGATTAACTCCATGTTCCCTACAATAATCAATAAAGTTAGCATTATCAAATTCAGTACCATGGTCTGATCTTACCGAGACCAGCTTGTGGGTGAGCTGGTTCTCCACTTGTTTCACCAATGTTACCCATTCTTCAAACGTTTCATCCTTTGTGTGTAACATCATTACCCAAGTGTACCTAGAATAATCATCAACCATAACACAGACATATCTATGACCTCTTCGACTTTGTACTCTCATGGGACCACACAAGTCAATATGTACAAGTTCGAAGGGTCTGCTGGTACTCATAATAGTTTTAGGCTTAAAAGAAATTTTGACCTGTTTCCCCCTTACACATTCAGAACAAACTTTATCAGCTTCATACTTAATGTTAGGAAGGCCTACAACTAAGTCACGTATTTTAAGTTTGTTTAGAAGTGTTAGGCTAGCATGTCCAAACCTCTTATGCCAAATCCATTGATTATTGTCAGAAACAGCTCTCAAACAGATGGACTTGTCTTGAGGGATTTTATCTAAGAAGGTGATGTAAACATCATGCTTCCTGGTTCCCTCACATACAAGTTCTCCTGTTTGTGAGTTAACTATGTGACATAGGTTGGCTTGAAACTCAACTCTATTACCTTTGTCACATAATTGAGAAATACTCAAGAGATTATGTTGCAAGCCTTCAACATAATAAACATCATCTATTGCGTTAGAAAGTGTCTTACCAACCTTACCTAAACCAGTGATGGTTCCCTTGCTGTTATCCCCAAAGGTGACACTTCCTCCATCAAAGGCCACTAGTGAAAGGAATTGATCTTTATCCCCGGACATGTGTCTTGAGCAACCACTGTCCAAATACCAATAGGTGTCTCCCTTCACTCTAGCCTGCAAGAGCAAATCAAACATTAGATTTAGGAACCCAAACATACTTGGGTCCCTTTTCAACAATATTAACAACTTGTTGATCCTTTCTTCTCCAAACACACTTTGCACCCTTGCTG